ACCACTCTGGAAAACAACATGGAGGCTTCTTAAAAAACTAAACATAGATTTGTCATATGATCCAGCAATCCCACTCCTAGGGACATACCCAAAGGAATGCGACTCAGGTTACTCCATAGGCACCTGCACTCCCATGTTTATTGCAGCACTATTCACAATAGCCAAGTTATGGAAACGGCCAAGATGCCCCACTACTGACGAATGGATTAAGAAAATGTGGTATTTATACACAACGGAATTTTACTCAGACATGAAGAACAATGAAATCTTGTCATTCACAAGTAAACGGATGGAACTAGAGAACATCATCTTAAGTAAAGTTAGCCAGGCTCAGAAGGCGAAAAATCCTATGTTCTCCCTCATATGTGGAATTTAGACCTAAAACAAATGCAGTAATATTACTGGACATGGGCCACACGCTAAGGGTAGTAATTGAGAAAGATAGGAAACCCAAAACTTGAAAGTGTTTCATGTGCCACTTCAGAGGAGCTAATATAGCAACCTTAAACCGACAGAGGTAACTATGGGAAGGTGACCGGGAAGTAGTGAAGAGGTCTGGTAGAGATGAATAAATTTGGGTTGTAATATACATGTGAATGGAATCTCTTTGTATAACTATCCTTACCTCAAACAAGCAAATATGCTATGTCTTCTCTTCAACAAAATTGGAGAAGAAGGCAGAACAGGTTATGCCTGGAAGCAAGGGGGGTAGAGGGACAGGGAGGGAGTGGTGAGAAAGAGGGGAGAAATGAACCAAACAATGTATTTACATATAAATATATGAATAAAAAAAAGTGGCAGCACACCTGCCTAGCAAGTGTAAGGCAGAGTTCAAACTTCAGTACGAGAAAAAAAAACAAAAAAACAAAAAAAACGTAAAATAGATTGGCTCAAGGTGTGGAGGATCAAGTCTATAATCTGAGTTTCTTGGGAGGTGGAGATTAGGAAGATGTGGTTTGAGGTCAGTCTGAGCAAAAAGTTCACAAGACCCCATCTCAGTCAATGGCTGAGCGTGGTGGTGTGTGCTCTTGGGATCGCAGCTACAAAGGGAAGCACAAAAAGGACTGAGGTCCAAGTGAGCCCCAGCATAAAGTAAGACCATATCTTAAAAATAACTAATGCAAAAAGGGTTAGCAGAGTGGCTCAAGTGGTAGAGTGTCTGCTTAAGTGTGAGGCCCTGAGTTCAACCCCTAGGAATGCCAAAAGAAAAAAAAATCAAAAGATAGTATACTATACATATGGTCTCTAATTTACAATGATTGGACTTAACCATATTTTAACTTTCTGAGAGCATGAAAGAATATCCGTACAACCATTTTGGTTTTCACTTTCAGTACAGTACGTAATGAATTACTGAGATATTCAGCATTTTATTATAAAACTGGCTTTGTGTTGGATGATTTTGCCCAAATAGGGGCTAATGTAACTGTTCTGAACATGTTTAAAGTTGGTAAGGCTAAGCAACAATGTTTGATAAGTTAGGTGTCTTAAATGCATTTTTTATTTAAACTATTTTCAACTTATGATGGATTGATAGGGATGAATCTACATTGTAACTCAAGGAGAATCTGTATTTCATATTGCCTTGAGATTATTTTTCATTTCCATTTCAGAACATGTAATATTTCTCAAGGGATGAAATATTACTACCTATTTCATTTTCAGGAGACAAGGAGATTGAGACACTGGCTGAAGGGACTTAGGTTAGACACTTCATGACTGGGCTAGGCTGATAAAAGTCACACTATATTTTGATTTTTCTCTCTTAGTTTGATACTATTTTCAAGATTTTACAGTATAAGCCTCTTTAATTCTCACAAGTACTTTACTACAAGGATTTCACGTCAAAATTATCTTATGCTAAAAATATTTTAATTCTTCAAATTCTTTCAAACATTCACCTCATGTGTCTATGATTACTGAATCTGGTCAAATCCTAGACTCCTGAAGGAATAAGTTAGACAGCTAGGGTAGTTTATTTCCTGATCACTCATACTTCTGATGTCTGAGTGAGAAGTTTTAGTCATAAACTGGAGAAACATATCTGATTTAGAGAAAGGATTAAAACAACTGTTCTTATCTTTTGGAAATTCAAACATTAGGCTCAGTTCTGTAGACTACTAGAATCCACACTGATTGTCTGAGAAAGATTCCAAAATATGTATCTTAGCAACATTAGAAGTTGTTTCTAAATAAAAACAATGGAAAAATTTATATGACTTGTAGGCCAGTAGAATATTGCTACAGACTGAATGGTTGTGTACCCTCAAAATTCATATATTGAAGCCAAATCCTTAATGTAGTAGTACTGGGAGACAAGGCCTTGGGAGATAATTAGGTCATTAGGGTAGAGTTCTCAGAAGTGGGATTTAGTACCCTTGGAAAAGAGGCTCCAGAGAGTATCCCATATCTTCTGCTACATGAGGCTGCCAAGAAAAGATGGTTGTCTATGAAACAGGAAGAAGGCCCTCACCAGACACTGAATCTTTCAGCCCCTTTATCTTGGACTTCTCAACCTCTAGATCTGTGAGAAGTAAATTTATGTTGTTTATAAGCCACCCAATTGATGATATTTTGTTATTGCAGCCAAAATAGACCAAGACACATTGGAAGGGGCAAGACTTTTATTCATCAAACAATACTAAATGAGTTCTATGTGCCACAAAAGAATTCTGCACATATTATTTCATTTAATTTCTACACGGCCTTCTGAGGTTGTCTATCTCTAATAATTGATGATTAGTAATCAGTGAAATGCCTTGTGGAAATTATATGCACAATTATGTGACAAACTGAGATTCAAAACTACATGTATCTTATTCCAACCATCCCAAAATATATCACTGATGTTCAGGAATCTGAGTAATTTTAGCATTCCCATTCCTCCTCAAAAATGAGTCTCCCATGTTCATTCTTATAACATGAAATAATCTCAAAAAGTACAAAAAGGTAGCCTGTTATTTTTTTGTTGTCTCCAGCAGGAAAACAGATCCCCAAGGGAACTGGGTTTCAAGAGCAGGTATAGGGTACAGATGAGATACAAGGGAGGCAAAGAACTCATGCCCTGCTATGATATGCCTGAGGGTGAGGGCAGAGTGGACAGTACTGTTTGGTATTGATCCAGCATTCTTTCATTCAGTCAATAAATACTGATTCCAAACCTCCTTTGTGTTGAGTTCTGGCACTATGAGGTGACTAACATAAGGGACAAGCCTTCTAGAACTCAGTCTGGAGAGGATGCCAGAGATCTGAGAAACAATTAGCAGCACATAGAATCATGCTGCAGGCCTCTAGATACTGCTGTATAGCACTGGGACTGAACCCCTGGGAAAGGTAGGGGACACTTCCCAGAAGAAATATCATTTGTGGTGGGATCTCAAAGGATGAGGTGTTTTCCTACCAGAGAAGGTAAAGACCATCTAGGCAGAGCATATTTCCAAAGGCATGGAGGTCAAAGTGATTGTGATATGCCCTAGAAATAGAAAGTAGTAATCTTGCTGAAGCATGGGGTATATGGTGACAATGGTGGCAACAACATGGAGATGGTGCTGGAGAGGTAGGCAGGATTCTGGGTTTACCAACAAGTATGGCTTGAATTGTGTATGCTGTGGGCAACGAAAGATTTTTAGGCAGAGCATGACAAGGTTTATGCTAAGATCATTTGCAAAGCCTTAAATGTCAGATGGGAAGAAGCTAGCCAAGTGGCAGAGAGGCCAGTTGTTATGAACTGTATCTTTGCAGCTCAAAGGCTTAACCCTCTTGTTCAGCCCTCCATTCACAAGTGATAAACCAAGATCTAGAAAGGCTAAGAGACCTTAGAAGATTATCCAGTTGTGAAGTAACAGAGCTGGGACTGGATCTTCTGTGGGTTGCTGCAGGATCCCTTCTACCTGCCTAGATGATGAAAGAAAATGAAGACACTTAAAGTCTGGATTCGCTATTTGGTGGCTTCAAGTTTATTTGCTTGAAGACAACAGCTCAAAGGTTAGAGAACCACTATAGGTAAAGAGTGAAGAATGAAAAGCTATTTTTACATTGATTTGTAATTCTTGCTATCTTACGTACCAGATAATTAGTAAAAGAGACACAGCTTAGTTACAAAACACACACCCACACCCACACATACCCACATATTGATGAAAAGTGTATAGTTTCTAAATAAACTAAAGCCATCAAATTCTGACCGTTCACACATACTGGAACTCAAGGACATATTCTTTCTAAGAACAAAGTGTCACCTATTAAGCTGTCATCTAAAAAGAAATTCTGTTGACAAGAAAATATTTCCCACATACACTACTTTCCCAGGATTAGACTCCAGAGATGTTGGCTCCTAAGTAACTTGGAATGATTACCATAGTCTCTTTCAAGGGCTCCTGGAATTTCAGGACAGGGAAGTGAGCTTGTTCTGTTTCCCAGAAACTGAGATTTTTGAGGGAAGCAACACTTGCGTATAGCCCTCCTGTAATTTCACACTAAAGTAGGTAATCTACAGAAGGAGTTTATTTTCAGGGCAGAAACAGATTTTCTGACACCTGCACTATCCCCAAAGGGCTTGAGCCTTCCTCTCTGAGCGTGAAGTGATGGTGTGTCAGTTGGGATATCAGAGCTGCCATGTGGGCAGAGGTTCCTCCTCTCAATGTGATTTAGAGTGAGCCCTGTGTGAGTTACAGTGAGTGTATCAGGCCAAGAAAAAGGTATCTGGCTCTTCAGAGCTGCACTTGATGTTATACATACCATTAAAAGAAGCAGAGTACATTATGTCCTCAGTTGGTCACAGATGGTAGAGTATCAGCCACAATAATAAATTCATGGAGGTGGGGTGTGTCGTCACACACAGAGCCAGGATGTGTGAGCCAGAAGGTGTGTGGGGGTAGTTAATACCATATGTCGTTTGACTGCTGTGGGCCTGCTCCCATGTCACAGCAACGTGTTTCTCCCAAGCAGCTCCAACACCATTCCTGATGCACTGCCCTCTGCCAAGCCCACATGACTCTTACCAGGTACTGGAGTCGCTGGCGCTCAGTCTCAGGGGTGAATTCTGAAGACATGGGGATGATTTCTCCATTTCTGATGATTATGGCCCTGAAATGGTGAAAATGCATTGTCAGCAGTCAATCTCATAAGTTCTCTGACTCTGTGACAACCATTGCTTGGGTCAGACTACACACAAAACACTAGGAGATGCTTCCTCCTTCCATCTCATGGTAGAGTTCACAGTTACCACTCTGGAGCCTCTCTCAATTTAAAGTGAATTGCATTCTAGTTAGCTTTCATTACTTTGATTACTTTTTCTGCTTGCTGGAACCATTGTTCTAGTGTTCCAGAATCAAGCATACTCTCAGTATATAACAAATGCTCAGTAAATAAACGGATGAATGAATAAATGTTGCATCAGAGGCACATTCCAGTCCAGGGTTCTCCAATAGAACCTTCTGTGATTATGGTAATGTTCTTATCTGTACAGTTCATTATGGCAACCACTAGCCACATACAGATATTTAAGGCATATGAATTTTGGTTAGTAGAGTTGAGATACTAAATTTGTAATGTTATTTAATTTTAATAAAGATTCAATAGTTGTATGTGACTAGTATTTAATGTAGTAGACAGGGCAAGGGTCTGCAACTCCAGACCCTTGTCACACAAAGGACCGGTAGGCCACCAGCACTGGCCTTACTTAGGACTTTGGTAGAAATGTAGAAACTCAGATCCCACCCCAGGCTTACTGCTCCATAATCTGCATTGTAATAAGATCCCCAGGTGTTCATAAACACATTAGAATCTGAGGCCATCTGGCCTAGACTACTGAATGTCTAGGATGATATCCTGGGTCCTGAAAAAGCCACTCTTACCTCAAGGCTCAGACCAAAAAACATGCCTAAGAGCTACTGCTGGCTCAAGGACTTTTGAGACAGCAGAGTTCCCCAAAGCTGAGGTCTATTGATTGGCTGTTTTTATGATAAATGGAAGTGGCTTGTGGAATCACATTTTATACTAACCTCATAGTTTTCTATACCAGAAGCCAGAGATCTTCTGACCTGATAGGCTTCTCAGAGAAGAACCCTAAATGTGGGGAATGCCTTAGATGAGGTCAGGTCTGAGGGCTACCTGGATGATTCTAGGGGATGCTGTTTCTTTGTGCCAGGAAACCCCTCCCTGACAACTGGAGAGGTAATCTCTCCCTGACTTGGAAACAATCCTTATAAATTGTTTCAGCTTTCACCACCCCTCCCATGACTCACCCTTGCTACCTGGGCTCTGGTTGCTGCCACCATAGGAACTGGTGGAAGGATACAGGTGGGAAAGGAAATGACAGTAAGAATCTTGGGGGGTCTTTAGAGAATTTATGGCTCCAGAATAAAAACAATAGAAGTTATAAGAACATGGAAAAATTTAGGGAAAAAAGATTCCACTTGCAATATTGTTTACTACTTCTTTTATTGTCCTGTATAAAATGTGAAAAATTAAAAGATTCCTTCTTATAAACCACTTGTAAATGCAATTACTACCCCCCCACCAAAGGTGATCATTACTATTCACAAATCATTGTGAGTTACTAATTCACATGGTCTTTGTCTTAATTATCAGTGAAGAAAGGGATCTGACAGAGGATAGAGAAACTTAAAGAAGTTGAAAGGGGAGTAGGTGTCAGGAAGGTCTTAAGTTAGGGCATAATCTTAAAGTAGGAAGAAGGGCATGAAATTCTGGAAGGGTGGAGTGAAAGTTGGTATGTGATGCATTCCAAAGGCTACCTTCTCTTCCAAAGTTTTGCTTAAACCTAGTCTTAACATTTTTTCCTCCCTTCTTCTACATGGCCCCTGAATTTCAGCTGATTCCTAGGTGTAGGCTAGCAAAGTCACATATATGGAAGGAGATAAAAGATAATGTGTAAAAGGAGAGGAAAGAAGTAGAGGGAAAATACAGAGTGACAGAGACCCAGGAGGGGAAAGTCTGGGTGCCATTTAGTGTGAGTTCACCAGGGAGGAGCCATTGTGGCTCAACCAGGCCACAGACTCAGGACCTGAGTGTCAGGAGGTCAGGGGCCTTGTCCATCTCATTCACTCATAATGTTGGATTCTTGGGCTGGTGGAGTGGCTCAAGTGGTAGAGTGCTTGCTTGGGAAGATTGAAGCCCTGAGTATAAACGTTCAAACTCCAGTAATGCCGAGAGAGAGAGAGAGAGAGAGAGAGAGAGAGAGAGAGACAGAGAGAGAGAGAGTGATGCATGCTGTTACATGCCTATAATCTCAGCACTTGGAGGTGGTGGCAGGAGGACTTCAAGTTTCAAGGCCAACCTGGACTGCATAGTGAGACCCTGTCTCAAGAAAGAAAGAGAGAGCCAGGTGCCAATGGCTCATGCCTATAATCTAGCTGCTCAGGAGGCAGAGATAAGAAGGACCAAGGTTCAAGGCCAGCCTGGGAAACAAAGGCAAGACCTTATCTTAGAAATAAGATACACACACAGAAGGTTGGCAGAGTGGTTCAAATGGTAGAGCTCTGCCTAGAAGGCATAAAATCTTGATTCAAACCCTAGTATTACAAAAGAAAGAAAGAGAGAGAGTAAGAGAGAGAGAGAGAGAGAGAGAGAGAACAAATTTCAAGTAGGATATTAAACCAAAGGTGAGGATATTGAGAGTGAGATTCTGCATGACTATACAGGTCTCATGTTCACGAAGCTGGCCCTGATAGTATAGTATGCCTTTGATATTTACTGAATGAATAAATGCCTTTGATAGCTACATATCCTAATGACTTCAGGTAACCTTTCCAGCCAGCACATGTTTATTGTATTTCACCTTGGAATATCCACCTGGATATTCACTGGGATTGCATGCTTAGTAATATTCAAAACTGATGACCCTGTCCCAGTCACATTACCAAATCTGTTTTCCAGCATTCCCTTCTCACTTCTTTCACCCTCATGTACCTAAACGAGCACCATGTCCTATAGATTTTACCTCCATGAAAGTTCTTATTCCTTGATTCCTACTGCTAGTGCCTTGTTTCAGGTTCCCATCAGAACCTGTCTGCATGACTCAGGAGCTCTTCATAGTTGTCCTTGTCAGTTCTGCCCATCTCTGACCCACAGGCAGAGATGTATTTTAAGTTTAATTAACACAACAATTGTATATACTTATGGGATAGAGTATGATATTCAATACATGTGCACAATGTTTGGCTTCCATGTCTGTCTCTAACTACTCTGAGGCTATTTTCTGGGCATAGCCTAAGTCACTGTTTCTGAATCTCCAATGCTCAATGCCTAGCATGTCTCAGGCAATAGCTACTTGCTCAGGGTTTTGTAAGTAACTACATGGATGAAGAATGAGCTGGACTTAGGTGTATGAGCAGAAGTATCCAGACACAAAGGTCCTAAGCAAGAATTGTCTTAGTAACAGCATTGTCAATTATATATAGTCTGAGCCCTCAAAAATCTATATGCCTTTTCACTGGTTTTGCAAAAAGCTAACAGGTCTAAGAGGATGTCATCACTGAGAAGTGACGTGAAGGACAAGGGGAATTGGTTGGGGGAGAGAAAATGCAGTAACCACTACCACATTTACTGTTTTTCCAAACTACAAATTCACAGATGAAGCATCTGCATTTAATTCCAATATAACTTCTGGTGTAATCCTTGATTATTTTCTTAAATAGGTAATTATATCCAAATCCATCTATGCACAAAATGTTCTTCACTTCCATTTGAACTACCAAGTTCTTCCTTACGAGGCAACTATAGATTAAAGATGACAGCATGTTTGGCTGCCAATATGCCCAGTCCTATGTGGTGGTATCTCTTCCTATGTGAGCCTTGGCTTCCTTTTGATCTTTCTTTCATCCCTCTGATCTTGGGATCAATTTGTCAGAGTGTGGTCTCCAATCTTGACTAGGGCAGCGGGAGAAAAGGGGCTTCAGAGAGAACAGAGTGCATGCAAAGGCTGACAAATCTCATACTCAACCAATAAAGTAGAGAAATGCCTGAAAAGCTACACTCTCTCACCACCGCCTGCTGCACTTCACATATTCATTATATTACATGATTCTTTCTTAAAGAAAATTAAATCCAAACCAATACAAAAACTATAGTAGCAATGAAGGTCAAGGAGAGCTGGGTACAGGCCCTAACCTGACTTCTGGGGGCCTCAGGCGTGGACCTGTGACTACTACTGTGCTCAGAATTTGGATGGCATTCTACTTATCTACCCAGGGGTAGGAGAGATTGAATGAGGAAGTTTTTAGGAGCAGGCAACCGCCTCTTATCTGACTGCCCTTACTCCACAGAGGCGATAGTTCCTAAGCACATTCCTCAGTGTTAGGGTTAACCTTTCCTTCACAGGCACCACAACTGAAATCTGGATGCTTTCATTTTAATTCTCATGTAGTAGATGGGGTGTTAGTCATGATGAGGTAAATGGTAAGATTTAATGGGCTCCTATGAGTCAACTGCCAGAATGAGAGATGAAATAAAGGTAAGAATAGTTTTTTTTGAAATGACCTTTTCTCAAATATTAGCTGCAGGAAAGGATAAAGATGATTTATTCCTAACTGATGGGAATTTTGAGTTTAGAGAATAGTTCCTAGAAAATCCTGCACCTTCTATTCTTTAGTATTATAGAGTTTAAACCACCTATGTTTTGTTCACTGAGTTACTAAAAATGTTAGGTGGTCAAGAGGGAAGAAAATGGGTTGCTCACTTCAAATATTCACTTGATTTTATAATTTCTTTTAAGGAAATCACATCATACTGTTGCCTATTCAATCTCACCTCATTGTGATGTTCTTAGAGTAGGACTGACAAGCTCCAAAAGGCATTTAACAAACAAAGAAAAAAAGTTGACAAAGAATCTGATTAGGCCATATACAGAAGAGAAAAAGCAAATGTGAATGCATGAAAAGATACTCAAGCACTCATAGTCCAGGAAGATGCAAATTAAAGTCAATTTTATAATTATATTTAATTATAAAATATATATATATATTATAATTTTATTCATTAGACTAGGAAACATTTAAAAATCAACACTACATAGTTTTTCTCATAGGGGAGAGGACAGTAGTTCTCATAATTAATGGAAATGTGAA